CTAAAATTTAGACATGTATATTTCTATTACAACTAATATAATAAATTCGGAAAAGAATTGTAAATATAATACAAAATATGCTAGAGTGTTCGATTATGGACCTGTGTGTAAAAAATATATTACTGATCTATTTGTTTATTTGTAGTTGAATTTTGTTATTAATTAAATAAATAAACACAAAAAAATATGAACATCCATTTCGACAAATTTAGAAACGGATTAATCTTTTAATTAAACATTTGATAGATCAGTTAGATCAAACAGTTTCAGGAAAGTATAATATAGTTTCAGGAAAGTATAATATAGTCACCTGAAATGCAAAATGGCGTAACAACCAAAAATTTTAAAATCGACTTTTTGATTTTAAATGATCCACTGCATCAAAATACATATAGCTGCAAATTTTTAGAATCCTATTGTCAAAAATACCGACTTTATAGAAGAGAAATTCAAAAGGGCGTAACAACAAATTAAGTCATTTACACAAGTAAGAAAGTCCTAAAAGGCAACATAATAGACAATGTCTGACGATAAAGTTATATTGAAACGTGCTTATCGATGTTGGAATACAATACTTGTAAGAAAATGTCGTTTTTATAACAAAAATAGCTTTCATATTATTTAGTTTTTAGTCTCTCCTGTAAAATTTTTAAAAGTGTTACGCACTTTTGCATTTCAGGTGACGATATGAGTACCTACTAGTTTCTCTTCAAAGTAGTTTTAACAACTTCTACAAAAGTCGTTATAGGGAACACCCATGCGTCTTGCATGGTTTCCAAATTTACAATTAGTTGAAACCTACTATTTAGGCATTATGTTTTATGATTATCCATACGAGGCTACAGCACCTTGCAGTTAAGCAAGTGTACTCTTGTGGCCAGCTGTCTTAAACTGAGTATCGGATATGTGGTTTTTAATGACCGGTAGGGTCATGGTGGATTAAAAATAGGGTGTGTGTCACCTCCATATAAATTAAGTACAAAAATTCCTATATTTAAGAATCTATTAAAGCTTGATTCCTTAAATTTTTCAAGAGCAACTTTGACATCCATGTAAATTACATCAGGTAGAAGACCTCAACTGTTGTAAAAGTATTTATATAAGTTAAATACATTCTAAAAGTCGTAAATCTGAGAATATGAAACAGCTAGAAAAAATTATATAGAGAATATGGTTTTTAGTGTAGCGAAGAACACTGGGTAAGCTAATGTTTTTTAAAAATAAAATATATATTTTTAAACAAATTATAAAATATATATTTTTAACAAAAAATATGAATAAAACTGCAGCGACAAAGCTGAAGCACATAACTTTGGATATTTAAAATTTTTGTTAAATTTATGAAACTTTTTAACAAAAATGACAATAAATTAAGTGATTTGTTTTCTCTTGAAGACATTTTAAGAGTAAATTAAAATAAAATTGAAGGTGGTTAATGGCAATATTTGATCCTTCGCGTGGCAGTTCACTTTTTTGCAATTTAAAATAGAGAATTTCTATTAAAGTGTTTTGTGCCATTAAAAGAAAAAAATTTATGATTTCAATAAAAATGTATCAGTTACAAAAATTCTTTAAAAAATAATATCCATCACTCCATAATTTCGTAGATTAAGTAGAAGCCGTCAATAATCGCTGTCCTGTTGATATTTCCTCTTTAGTGACATTATCTCAGCTGCATAGTACAGTATAATATTTTGAAGGACATTTTCATACATAAAACGATCCTTTATACCATTTATTAACTTTATATTTATAAATTTGTCTGATCACATTACGTCAACAACATTACCCCTTTCGTGTTTCATTTTTACAACGGCATACCGTAAATGCACCTACTGACCTAGGAACTAACTTTAATTTATCAAAATGTTTTCAATTGAACTTCCCTCCTAAAATCATCACTTCTGCAGGTCTTTTTTAGTACTTCCATAGAGTAAATTCTACTTCTTTTTCGCTCCTTTGGAAGTTATTTTTTGCTGCGTAAGTGCATTTAAATAAGGCTAGGGCTAATCATCGTTTCTCACTATTTCCTGATCATTTTTTACAACGTGTAATGCAGATCAATGAATTTGTCAGACATATAGATTTTGATACTAGGATAAACAATGTTGAAAATCGTAAAAATCGGATCACAAGTTTTTACAAACAAAATGATATAAAAAGTTTTGTAATACATCTTTATGTCCAATTTCACAGTTTAACATTTGTTAAATTTAGTATATTATGTAACAGTCTGTTAAGTGTTAGTTCCGTTTTACATGGTATATTTTAAGAAGTAATGAAAATGTAGGATATGTTATGGTAAATTTAAATCCATAGTTAAAATTTTATGATTTATATAACCTGTTTATGGTGGAGGTACAAATTAAACAACTTCTATTTTGTTGTTTATAAAAACAAGAGAAGAGAATGTTTTTTTTTTTAATAGACGGGCACTTGCAAATTTAACTTAAAAATTTATCACGGGATTTTTAGTATTTTTTCAAATAAGTTCAAGAGTATTTAACGTGCTTTCAGAACTAATTTTTAAATAAATTCACTGTCAAATTTATGTTGTTTTCTTTATTTTTTTTTTAAATTGAAGTTTCATTATTCCCATCAATAAAAAATATTGGGAAATCGAATAAATCAAACACAATTTAAAGTTTAATTAAATATTGCTGACCGCCTTGCAAGAACTAAGCAGATTGCAACAAACAAATGCCTATGAAGTGATACTACATATTTTCTAAAAGGTGGATCCGAGTAGAACAAGAATCTGTTTTTGAAATTTGCCAAACACCTCCTTTTACCTTTCAGAAAAATAGTGTCACTTCCAAGTATTTCCATTTTCGTTTATTTTGTCCCAGTCAAAATTTACGTGGGCGAGAAGCCACGCCCACATACAAATTAAAAGTCGCATATCTTAGAAACTGCAACAGCTAGAGTCCTAACATTTTTAACGGACATCCATAAGAATATTTGTGGAAAAATGGGCGGAATAGCTATAGTGTCAATATGATTACTTATAACAAAAAGTGGGCGGACTAGCAGCTTTAATATTCATCTCAACATTATGTGGAAAATAGGACGGACTTTCAACAGGGGGTTTGGAATCCCCATATGAATTACATAGAAAAATTCATATATCTAAGAAACTATAAGAGACAGAATCTTCAAATTTTTTATGTAGAATTTTGACATTCATGTGAACATTTAGAGAAAAATGGGCGGACTTTCAATGAATTAATTACAAAATTTCGTATACAACTTAACTGTTTAATTTTTTATGCAATTCAGCAAGATCAGTGTTGATAAAAGGTATTCAGCAACTGTTTTTTGTACACACAGAAAAGAATATAGTATTTTTATATGACAAACATTATTATTGAAGGGAAATGTAAAGCAGTGGTGTTGTGGGTAGAACAGTGGAATGAGAAGTGGAGCATAAGTGGTTCGAATCTAGGTCAACTGGGTCATTTTATTAAAAATATTAAAATTTTTTAAGAAACAAAATTAATTGTCGCAAAATTTATAAGTACTTTGGTAATTCCTCTTCAAAAAGTTAGATTTCTGAAAGGAAATCTTTTATATCTTTTCAAAATTCGATTATTAAAACCTCCACCATCATCACTGGAGCAGGTTTGTTATTCTGAGTGTAACAGTGAGAAATATTAATCTCATATCCAACAAGGTATAGACATATGAATATTGTGGGCTACATATGTACGTTTGAATAAATAGTGTTTAAATTTAGAAAATTAAATTAATTCTTTAAAGTATTTTTTCCATGCATGGGCCAAATCAGAAATCGCACTTCCTTCAATTTGGAAAATAGTGACTACCCAGTAATAATAAAACGAAGTTCCAAATGAATTACATTTTTCTGTCGAAGTGATGTTAAATAACTTTCGAAAAAGCGAAAATAATAATATTTTTTGAACTTACATTTTTGTGAGTTAAAAAATATTACTTTTTCTTATTAATGTTAATATTATTTATATCAAATTAGTAATATTCTATAATACTACCGTTTCAATTCCATTTAACTTCCGAAAAATAACATAAAAATTAATTTTTGAGAATGACAAAAGTAGTGAAATTGGAATCCTATGACAAACAAGTCTGTGTTAAAATCATCACTTCTGTAGGTCTTTTTTAGTACTTCCATTGAAGTACTTCTTTTTCGCATCTTTGGAAGTTCTTTTCTGCTTAGTAAGTGCATTTACATAAGGCTGAGGTTAATCATCGGTTTTCACTACTTCTTGTTAATATTTTACAAAAAGTAATGCAGATCATAGATTTTGATACTAGGATAAATAATGGAGAAAGTTATAAAAGTCGGATCACATGTTTTTACAAATAAAATTATATAAACAGTTTTGTAATACATTATTTCCATTTTCACACAGATACACAACATTTATCACAGTTTAACATTTGTTAAATTTAGTCCATTATGTAACAGGCTGTTAAGTGTTAGTTCCGTTTTACATGGTATATTTTAAAGCGTAATGAAAATGAAGGATGTATTATGGTGAATTGAAATCCATCGTTAAAATTTGATGATTTATATAACCTGTTTATGGTGGAGGGTATTTAAGATTCGGCACAGCCGAATATAACACTCTTAACTTGTTATATACGCAGTTGTCAAGCGTCATAACAAATGATATGTTTCACTCTTAAACAATTTGTTTATTTACTACAAATAAATCGCGTTGATAGATACAAACTTTTTAATTTAAATAGTTTTTGCTTCTCCTGTAAAATTTAAAAAATGATAGATAGGGCCGTTTGCGTTTTAGGTGATGAAAAACAGATTACTAATTCAGAAACATTATTCCAAACAATTTTTATTAATTTTTTTATGCATTTTTTTAAATTCCACGTGAAATTTTGAACAGAGTAGGTACCTAGCTTAACAATGAAAAATGTACATATTAATAATAAAAAATAAAATACTGTTTCTGTTATGCACATAAAACTAATTTTTATTTATTTTAAATTTAATTTTTTAGTTTAATTTTCTTAAAAACTTTGGATGCTGATGCTGGTCAAAATAGCATTTTAGAATTCACTATATTGGATGAAATATCACGTCAATATTTTGAAATTGATTCAACAACTGGGACGATAAAGCTTTTGCAGAAATTAGATTATGAATCTAAAACATATTTCCAATTTAATGTTGTGGTAAGTATATTTTATTTATTTATTACACTGAAATTTACATATGAATAATATAAATTACTAACAATTAAAACATGTAAAATTGACTATAAAGACGTCGGGATTTTTATAACTTATTACTTTCTAATTGTTTTTCTATTCATTGATGTTTCACGACAATTAAATCAACAAAAGTCAGTTGGACCAACAAGTATTACTTCTCACCATTTTAGTTTGCATCTTCGGTCACAATCTGTGAAAAATAGCTTTTAAGATGTTACCCCAAGGCGTATTTCTTTTAACTCACTATTAAAACTATGCTTATCTAATTTAGGACACGTTTAAGTTCAAAGCATTGTGATGTACGGACATTTTTTTGAGTTTGAAATGTTCATAATTTTTTCATGTTTTTGAAATTTAAACGCTTATAACTAACAGATCCTTACCTGAAACTAACCAAAAATTCAAAATCGATTTTATTGTTAACTCTAATGTATTGCATCTAAACAAATGTCTACACAAAAAATTGGACTGCTCCGACCAAAAGGAGCGATTTTATTGATGAAAAACAAAAGGCCCTATCACAATTTATCCATCTTTATATCATAACAACAATTGATAGGTTTCACTATTAAACGATTTGTTTACTTACTACAAATGAATCGCGTTGATAGAAAAAATTTTTTCAATTTAAATAGTTTTTTGCCTTTTCTGTAAAATTAGATAGGGCCGTTTGCGTTTTAGGTGACGAGATGGAGCTACCTCTGGTCTTGAAAATATGCACTCTTATACTTTGAGTACGATTAAAAGTTTATTAAAAATTTATTACTTAAAAAAATTTTTGAGATTTAAATTTGGACCCATAAGAGTTAATATAAATAGTGAATTTCCAAGAATTGTAACGTGATGGGAAGAAATCGAAAGCTATATTATTTAAAAAATAGATCTTTGTTTAAATTTTATTTGTTTGACAAGAATGGAGATTTTTGAAGCCACATCTAGAAAATGATTTTGAGGAGTTTTTAAACAAAAATGTGTAGTTTATTAATAATAACAAATTTAATGTAATTTATGAGATTTAGAAAATATACAAATTATATTTTTTTTCACAAGAATTGGGTTGCTAAATTTAAAAATCGTTCTTTTTTGTACTAATAAGAGGAACGGCAAACGGAACGGAAGTTTTAAGTGTGTCACACTTAAAACAAGTTTGGAGGCATAGATAATACCAGAGTTTAAATATTAGTAGATGCTTTTATATTTTTATTTTTGACTTTGCAATAAATATGCATTTACCTCATATTTAAAAATATGCATATTTAAAAAATGGTTCTGTTCAAAATATTTCTAGTATTTTTGCTAAAAATATTTACCCATACAAACTATTGCATATTACAGCTTACAGACAAATATAAAATGTTTTCACTTACAATATATTACGCAGCAACTCGCTAACATATTTATAATACCCACATATATTTCATATGGCTTGCCTATAATATTAAAATATTTTCCTACACAAATTATTCGCAGTCAACAATATTGAAGCCATGCGAGCAGTAATATACGAACATGAAATGTACGCAAGCAGAGCATATATGTGCCGACGAAAACACGAAACAAAACGATAGTCGCGACTATCAGGTTACAATATTTTTACTATCAAACTTAAATATTATTTACTATAGGAAATGACTTATGGTCTAAAATTTAACATTTCATGTTGAACTTGAAAAATTATAAAATGTGAAAAATGTATGCAAGATATAACCAAATTTTATTTAGAAAATAATTGAAAACGTTTATATCTATGTATGTTTTATGTATATTATGGGAAAAATGTATGCATGAAATAACCAAATTTTAATTAGAAAATTTCTGAATTGAATTATTGAATGTATGTATTTATTAAATTTATGTTTAATTTTTATGTGGAGTATTAAAATGTATGTATTTGTATTGATTGTAATATAATTAGAAAAAAATTATATAAATACTTAGAGGATCATATGAATGTAAAAATATATTCAAATATGTATATATGTAAAAAATTGTTTTTACAGGCTATATTTAAACATATTGTTTGTAACAGGATGACAATAAGTTTGTAAACAGGTAGTAATGCATTAGTAGTGTCTATGAAATGATCAATAATGAAGGAAATTATAGGTATTTTAGAAATTTGTAACAGGATGGCAAAAAATTAAGAGGGGACATAAAAACATAAAAAGTTGTTTTTGTAATTTTACATTGTGAAAGGTTAAAACAACAAAAATGTATGAGTGTATTACATACATATACAAGTATGTTTTTCATATGCATGTGTCACATTTCTATAAATTATTATTACATACACTCAATTATCTTACAATAATGAATGAACAGGCGCGAAGAAAAAAATATATAGGTGTTAATAAATTTGCATATGCCATTGCCAACCTTTTGAATTTGCATGAGAGAGACTAAATAATAATGATATTTCTTTCCTCTTCTCCCCACCACAAATTCAAGTAAAGCAAAAAAAAGGATCTTGCGTAAACCATCGTTAAGGAATGTGCGTAAAATGATAAAGTAGGAAAGAGAATTTCTACTACAGGTCATTTTTATGACGAATGTATTTTTGCATCACACGTACATATCTTCTTCCCTCCACCAATTCAGGGAAAAAACAAGTAAGAAATTATAGTCGGGCGTGGCCGACCATATGATACCCTACACCAGTTATGAATATTAAATGTGATTTATTTTTCATAATAAAGCATTTATCTTCAATATTCCCTTGTTCCGATACATTTAAGCAATTTATGGATGAAAAACTAATTTTCTGAAAGAGGCTTTATATGGGGGCTAGGGGCAAATAAGGACCAAGCCCGATAAAATTTTGTGAATATATTTATATTGACATAATATTTTATTGTGCTGAATTTCATCGCGATATTTGTGTTTATAAGCTAATTTGGGACATTCAAGTAATTTTCTGAAGGGGACTTTGTATGGGAGCTAGGGTCAAATGAGGCCCGATCTTTATGAAATTTGGCAGGGTCATCAAGACTTCTATAAAACTTAGTTGTGCCGTATTTTATCGATATATATGTATATTTAACATAATTATGAGCTCAGAAGCCCTTTTCGGGAAGTTCTGTTCTATGGGGGCTAGGTGAAATAATGGACTGATCTTAACCATTTTCAATAGGCTTCGTCCTTAGGTCAAATAAAACGTGCGTGCCAAATTTCATCCAATTATCTTGAAAATTGCGACCTGTACCTTGCGCACAAGGTTTACATGGACAGCCAGCCAGCCAGCCAGCCAGACGGACGAACGGACGGACGGACGGACATGGCTTAATCGACTCAGAAAACGATTCTAAGCCGATTGGTATACTTTAAGGTGGGTCTAGGACGAATATTTTTGTATGTTACAAACATCAGCACAAATCCAATATACCCTCCCCACTAAAGTGGTGTAGGGTATAATGACCTATCGTAATCCACCGTTATGGAATGTGCGTGAAAAGTAGGAAAGAAAAGTGCTGTTACAGGTCATTTTTATGACGAATGTGTTTTTTGTTATTGTTTCACACATACTTACATACATACATATGTATATACAAAACCAGATATAAATGGTGTTGCATATTTGAATATATTTTTACATTCATATGATCCTCTAAGTATTTATATAATTTTTTTCTAATTATATTACAATCAATACAAATACATACATTTTAATACTCCACATAAAAATTAAACATAAATTTAATAAATACATACATTCAATAATTCAATTCAAAAATTTTCTAATTAAAATTTGGTTATTTTATGCATACATTTTTCCCATAATATACATAAAACATACATAGATATAAACGTTTTCAATTATTTTCTAAATAAAATTTGGTTATATCTTGCATACATTTTTCACATTTTATAATTTTTCAAGTTCAACATGAAATGTTAAATTTTAGACCATAAGTCATTTCCTATAGTAAATAATATTTAAGTTTGATAGTAAAAATATTGTAACCTGATAGTCGCGACTATCGTTTTGTTTCGTGTTTTCGTCGGCACATATATGCTCTGCTTGCGTACATTTCATGTTCGTATATTACTGCTCGCATGGCTTCAATATTGTTGACTGCGAATAATTTGTGTAGGAAAATATTTTAATATTATAGGCAAGCCATATGAAATATATGTGGGTATTATAAATATGTTAGCGAGTTGCTGCGTAATATATTGTAAGTGAAAACATTTTATATTTGTCTGTAAGCTGTAATATGCAATAGTTTGTATGGGTAAATATTTTTAGCAAAAATACTAGAAATATTTCGAATGGGAGCAATTAAATATATTATATTCATAAAATATATTTATATTTTAATATTACATACGTATGCATAGGAGAAAATATGCATTTTGGTTACTAATATATTAGTAATTTTAATCACTGGATAATACACATAGATTGCCAACTCAAGCTTTACCACGAAAAAGAGAACTTTCTCTCTTCACACTTACATGTTCTGTGTGAGTTCAACACAAAGCTACAACAACAAATATTGAATATTTGAAGTCCAAAATTCGCACATAAAAACGGTTCGGGCACATTTTTTATAACACAAACACAAAATTTTATATTTTTTTACAATTATTTAAATACTAGCTGGCCCGACAGACGTTGTCCTGTCCAAATTAGAAAAAATGCTTATGTTCGATTTGTGATTTTAGATAAATCGAAAAAAGTGAGCGTAAAAGTGGGCGTGGTCAATTATTCTTTCAGTAAAACTTTAAATTTGATTACTACGAACATGTTTTAAAAAATTTAGCCAAATCGGTGCAGCCGTTTTCCGATTTTAGATAAATCGAAAAAAGTAGGCGTGGTAAATTTTTCTTTCAGTAAAAACTTAAATTAGATTACTACGACCATTTAAATAAAAAATTTAGCCAAATCGGTGCAGCCGTTTTCCGATTTTAGATAAATCGAAAAAAGTGTGCGTTGTCAATTTTTCTTTCCGTAAAAACCT